TGAATTTCATCATCCATAATTTAAGTGATCTTTTCAAATACACCCCCCTTGCCTCACATACAACACACAAAACTTAGCAAAATGAATATAGGACATGAATAGTAATATATCAGCTATTTCTGCCTAATTTTTAAACGATTTTTTGTACACGTTTAACATTTATACATACAACATTTAAATGCTGTTGCTTTAAAATGTGTAAACTTTGAATATAATAGCTGATGCTGTGTGACAAGTTATTTCAGTGCCAGAATACTTGTGAAAGACAACATTCGAAACACCTTTCACTTCTTATATCTGTAGTATTTTTGCAGCTATGTCTTGCTATCATTCTTGTACACACACAGACACATGCACACACTCTTTCCTCTTGATCGTATTCCATGGTGTCCAGGAGAGCTGGGCCTGATCCTCTCAGTGTTTAAGGCTCTCATCTCCCCCCCATGTCTGCAACGAGCACACACATGAACACACACACATACACACACACACACACACACTCCAGGCTGCATGGGCTGGAAAGCTCCATCCATGTCATTGGCATTACCTCAAGCCTTGATGCTGCATTTGTGCTAAGCTAAGCTGTTTGGGCCTCTCTGAGCACAAGAACCAGAGGCTGAGTGTGTGTGTGTGTGCTTGTGAGTACTTTTCGTGCGTTCATGCATGTTACGGTGTGTTTGCATGTACGTGAATATCGTGCATGAGTGTGTTGGTCTGGTGTTTTCGTGCTTTCTGGCATGTTACGGTGTACTTGCGTGTGTGTGCTGCTAAGTTTGCACATAAATTTGTGGGGGGGGTTGTGTGTATGTATACATGTGTGTGGAATACAGGATTGTGTGTGAACCTGATAGCAAGAATGACAGCAAAAAGGCGATATTGCACCCGCTCCCCCTCCCTCACTTCAGTGCTGTCTTGCGTTTTACATCTTAAATCCATTACAACCATCCAGGATGAAATACGATGCAGAACACGTGTGAAATGTGAACAGTGGAAAATTCACAGATCTTCAAAGTCGAAAATAAAATTATGCGTGAAATAAAAGAGAATATACATGAAAAAAAATCACTAGCCTATAGAGATAAGAACATGGGAAGACATCCAGTGAGAGAAAATGCTTATTCACAAACCAATTTTCACGCTAACTATTATTTCCAGCGCGCTCGAAGTCGAAGCGAGCTCATGAGCTGTAAGCAAGAGCATTGATCTGCCTCAATGATCGTATCAAGGTGGCGTATCGACAGCATCGTGTTTTACTCTTTTCTGTGTTTGTCCTCGGCGGCATTAAGAGGAATAATGGATATGTAGGAGAGGTATTGGCAGGGCCCGCACCGGCCTATTGACAATCTGTCAGCATTGATTACTTAGTCAGGCCGCAGGAGGAAGGAGAGAGAGACATAGACTGAGAATGAGAGGGACAGAGAGAAAGAGAGAGATGCTGAAAATAGATAAAATGTCAGAAGCTAAAAATAATGTGTGTTTAGAGTGTGTGTGTGTGTTTGTATTTTTTAGGGTCACATGAATGATTTCTTCTGTGTATGTGTGTGCAAGAGTGTGTCTTTGTGTGTGTGTGTTTTTAATGCAACACCCAAGTAATAATTCTCTCTTCAGTGTGTGTGAGAGAATATTTTAATGTTTATTAAGCCCCATGTTACAGCTAGGTAATGATTCTTCCCTCTCCAGCGCTATCTCTTGGTGGGTGTGTGTGTGTGTGTGTGTGTGTGTGTGTGTGTGTGTGTGTGTGTGTGTGTTACAGCAGAGGGGTAGGCGGTGATATAATTGTAAGCTGGTATTGATTGGCCCCCTCTTGTTATTGATGAGGGAGAATTTAATTCAACCAACTCGTTTGTCAACATGACACTGCCATTTAACAATGAACTCTCTCTCTCTCTCTCACACACACACACACACACACACACACACACACACACACACACACACCACACACACACTCACAGAAAGCAGAGCGATAGAGAGCAATAAGATCTAATTCTGCAATAGACTTCCTTTACTGGGTAGGATGCGTTCACTTACTCGGGTTTGGGTTTTCTTCAGACATGTTTGTATTTTTAGCAGAAATAGTAAAGTCTAATGTGATATTATGACACTAATATAATTAAAATAATGTTACTGTAAGAAGAATTGAATGCGACAAACATTTATCTTTTAGATTTTATGCTTTTAAAGGCTGTCTCAGTTGGAGACTGTGGTGTGTATGTGTGTATGCCGTTGAACCAATTGACTCAATTTATCAGACGTATCGATTGGATATCATTATTTTTAATACCATTAATAGTACAGCGGTGGAGTCTCAGGGCCTGGATGCAGAAACAACAGGTTTGGTTTGATAGGTAAGAGCCCAAGCCTATTTTAGTTTCCTTTTATACTGCTGTCTGGTCATATGTGTGTTTGTGTGTGTGTGTGTGTGTGTGTGTGTGTGTGTGTGTGTGTGTAACTGATCAGAAGTCCACTATGGCTTATAAGCCCACTATGTCAGACAAAGCAACCACCGCAGCAGGTTGCAGAGTAGTTATAAAAGGATAGATATTACAGAAGGGAAAAAGAACATATTGCTATTGATGAGGCCCGCCGTGCGCCATATTCTTCACCTCTCCTTCAAATCCACACACACCTCCCTCCCCTCCTGCGATGGACGCACAAAACACACTATATTCTACAAGAAATAATTGCTTTTGTCTGGAAGGAGTTTGGATCGGGGCTCCTCTGCGCTCGCCCCCATCTGGAGAGAGGGGGGCTCTAGAGGGACAACCGGTCGCTTCTTTCTATGGCCTCTCCTCTCCCTCCTCCTCCTCCTTTTCTTTTTCCTCCCTCTCTCGCTCGTTGGGCTTGTGGATGTCATCTGTCAATGGGGAGTGGGTTTTTTTTTTATGGGGGGGCCTCCTTTGTGATGTGACGTGTGTCTATGCATAGATGACATCAAAAGCGGCAGCGGGTTACGAAAATGTTCTGAATTGTAGGACAAGGACAAGTACTGTAGTAGAAGCAACAGAGACCGCAGCAGCAGTCACAGTATTAGTAATAGTAGGATTAGTAGTAGTAGTAGAAATAGCAATAGTAGCACTAACAGTACTATTATTAATGGAAGCAGTAGTAATAGAGATAGAAGTTATAAAAGTGGCTTTAGTATTGGTAAAGGAGTAGTAGTGGGAGTAGAAGCCGAAGTTGTAGTCACAATATTAATAGTAATAATTGATGGTATAGCAGCATTAGTAGCAGTAACAGTACTACTATTAATACTGGAAGTTGTAGTAATAGAAGTTCTAAAAGTGGTTGCAGTATTTAGAGTAGAGGCTACAGCAGCAGTTATAGTCAAAGCATTGCTGCTAATAGTAGTACCGATAGAGGGTAAAGCAGTGTTAGTAGCAGTAGCAGTACTACTGTTAATAGAAGCAGTAGTAATACAAACTTATAGAAGTGGTTGTATTACTAATAGAGTAGTAGTAGTAGTAGTAGTAGTAGTATCAGCTGCACAAGCATGAAAAGTAGTGAGAGTTATAGTAGTGGTAGTAGTGGCATTAGTAGTTGGAAGCAGTTTAAATATTATAGACTATAATAACTGTAGTATCTGCATTAGTTGCAGTATATAGCAGCAGTTATAGTAGTCTGGGTGGTAGTAATAGCATTAATTATGATAGAAGTATTTTATTAAAGCACACAGGGTACTGATAGTAGCAGTAATAGTACACATAGTAGGAGCACTGGAGTTGTAAAGTCAGTGGTTCTGGACGCTTCTGATGATGTTTTATCCGCGTAGCAGATAGTTTATTTGACGTTTTCTTTCTCTCCCTGCATAGACATTAGCATCGGCAAAGAGCCTGAGGCCTTTCCATATATGAGGCCATAATTGATCGATAACTTATTAACAGCTCAGTCCCACCTCGGAGTGTATACAGAGTGAGTGAGAGAGAGACGTGTGTGAGGTTTTGGTCGATTTTCTTTTATTGACTGCGATATTTAGCGTATAGATTTTTCTATTTAAAAAAATCTATGATGGCGATAATCTTGAGTGTAAATGCACAGCGCAGTTTGGGGCGTCTGACAGCCGGGCGGAGGAGAGTGCAGTGGGGAGAGAGCTGATGGCCGGGAGGCACCTTTCCTCGGACACACACACACACACACACACACACACACACACACAGTGGCAGCCAAAACACTCTCACCGACCCTTAATAGGAAAACATGCAATTTAGATTCAGTTCAACTGACATTTTACGCACATTTTACGCACACGCGCACGTAGCCTTCCCGAGCCCCAAATAATTACTAATTTAACACCCTTGGCTCTGCAAGCTTTGATTATTCACCTCTGCGTTGAAAAAAAAATACATTGGTTGAGTGCTGCAGGTGACCTTGCATAGGCCAGACTCACGTAAATTTATATGAGAGAGAGAGAGAGAGAGAGAGAGAGAGAGAGAGAGAGATCCTCCTGCTGAAATATACATCAAAGGTTCCCCTCCTTTGAATTCATGTCCGCACATTGTGAAGAGGCGATCGATTTTTCGGAGGCCGGCGATGATGTGATTATTGGCTTCATTATAATGAAGTAATCAGAAGATCAATTGGCTGGATCTGTGCTCGTCTTGTACGGGATTATAGTGGTCAGAGAGAGCATGTGTGTGTGCGTCTCTCTCTGTGTGTATATGTGTGTGTAGAGGTGTGTGTTTTTTAAAATACCAGTAATTCAGCATAGACTCGCAGAGAATAAATCATTTAATGAAATTGATTTTACACATGTACATAGTATTTTAAATCGGGTTCTATAATATTAATCCCCCCATATGTAACTTCAATACAGATCAGATACAAGGAACGTAAGTGTCAATACATGCCCCAAATGTGTGCAACAACAAAAAACTGGACAGAGAAAGTGTATGCTTGTGTGCATCTGCGAGTGTGTTGGGGTGAGGGGGTAGAGGGAGAAAAGGGGGATAGAGGTAGAGAGGGGAGGGAAGGGAAGGGAAGGGAAGGGGTTAAAAAAAAAAAAAAAAAAAAAGGGGGCTGGGTATTTCTGTCTGTCTCCTGGCCGGAGCGCTTCGCCGTGCCAGAGTGCGTTCAGGCTGCGCGGTGTCGGACCGAAACCACCGGGGTTCCCAAAATAAACTGAGGGGACGCAGATACGCGCGCACACACACACGTAGGATACACACAGAAAGGCTGAAGAGTGAGAGAGAGATACACACCGTCGGATGGCGGAGCAGAGCCAAAGAAAAGACACTACAGCGTAAAAAGAAAAGGGGTATCGCTTCTCCCCCCCCACCACCTCTTTTTCTTGCTTTCGAGTGCACATCAGTGGAGGAGGAAAGCAGAGGACAGGTGTACTTATTGATATGGATTTATTCATTTATTTATCTATTGATTTTGCTTTAATTAGTGACCCGCGGTAGAGAAAGAGGGCGAGAGAGAAACAACGAGGGGAGGAGAGGGAGGAGCGAAAGTCAGACAGGAGGTGCCTGCATAGCCTTACTTTATTATTTGATTATTTCCGTCTTTTACCAAATAATGCTTTTGCGTTTTATTATTGTGTCGCTTTGTGTGCATGTATTCTTCAGCAGACCAGCCAGCTACTAACCAAATCTTTACGAGAACCAAAAAGAAGCAACTATTGTGTTACACGGACAGTTTTCCCCCCTCATCTCTCTACACCAAGGATTCACCGGTGGACAGTGTTTGTTTGAGACTTTTCATGACAGTGCAGGAGGAGAAATTTCTCTTTTCCCAACCTAAACCAAAGCAAAACCCCGCCGAGGAGAAGAGACCGAGACCGAGAGCCACTGCGATCTTTACGCACAGCTGTCTGGACACAATAAATGGAGTCTAATTGTGTCTGCGTTACATCCAATGGAGAGCAGCTGACAGAGGAGCACCAACTGCACTAGATTCACATGGGTGCGACGATAACAGATATCCTCCACTGTCCAGTCACCTGCAGCCCGTATTAGCCTGTATGGAGAACCACTGGTAGCTTTCTATCTCCTACCAGAGCTGAAACAGTCGTGGCTGCGCGTCCTGCACATCGCTGTGTGTACGTGCGTGTGTGTGTGTGTGTGTGTGTGTCGGACTAGTTGACTCCGAGAAGACACAAGTAAAGGGACCGTAATATCCTTCTGTATCCCAGAGCTATACAAATCTAAAAACCGAGAGATGTGAATCCGCTGAGGCACAGGCTCAACCCACGGAAGAAAAAGCCAAATACAGAGTCTCTCTTTTTTTTTTTTCCCCCCAAAAACCATCCAAGCTTCTTCACACCCGGCTGTCCACAAACCTGGAGAAGCATACGAAGAAAGGCCAAAGAACGACCGACGGACGACGGATCAGAAAAGAAAAGTGAGACTAAAATAAAAACGACGACCCCCAGGTCGACAGAGGACCATGTTTGTCCCCCTGCCGGTCCCCTTCGTCTTTCAGAGAACAGCGTCCGACTTCAGCGCCTGGAGACTCAAGTCCTCGCTGGCTCCGCGGTCCAGCCCCGGTAAGACGCTTTTCTACCGGTCCTTTTTTATCTCCACTGTGCACCTACACAAAGAATAAAACCCGGTTATTATCTTAATTTTAATATCTTTTAATTTCTAATCCAGATTTAGCTACAATTATATTCAGAACATATTCTTCCCCCACTTTAATCTCACATTTAACTAACGGTGCAGTGAACTTATACGGGTATATTACAGGGGTACACATACATCATTTTAATCCTGTCTATATTTTACTTAATACATAACATACAACTCACAATAAGCATTTTTCCACATATGAAAGTTATTTTACAGCTGCGAGATGAGCACCATAACCATAATGTCTTCAAGAGTCTTCAAATGTCATTTCTAATCCAATGTGTTTTAGATTGTTCATTTGTATAAAATTCACATCATCTTATCTCCTGAATTAATAATGATTTTCTTGTGATTTGCCTTATTCTGATTTGTTTCCAATCACACAAACAAGTAAAGCTGTATTCAAAGTTAAATGAATCGGACTCACTTGTGTGAAGAAAAAAAGACTAGATGCTAGGTGCATATCTTTTTTATCATTACCCTCTTTTTTCTCCTATTTATGTCCGCAAATAGAAATAAACTGGATTTATCATTAGCAAGGCAGAGAGTTTAATTAAAATACTTACTTGCATATAAATCCAAAAATGTAAAACACACCCCAAAATTGGATGCATGAATATATGGCTCATTAGCATCCATCACAGTGTCATAGAGGCGCCACACTCTCTGCTCATCTTTTCCTCTTTCATTCAGGGCAATCTATCCATCTCAACCTCCAACCCATCTGTCTCCTCTCCTCTCCTCTCTCCTCTCCTCTCCTTCAGTCTTTCTCGGTCAGGTTAGGGGGGGAATATTCATGGTCATCTATCGATCAGAACGTATTGATCTCTGACTGGGGCCACATTGGGAAAACGGGAGTACAGTCAAGTTGGCTGAGGGAGAAAGTTTGACTTCACTGGAGATAATGTGTGAAGAAAAAAAAGAACACAGTGACATTTTCTAAATGGCTGAAATTCAAATTGTGTTGACAAAATGAAGTTTCAATATTAGTCCCTAAAAACACACACAAGTATCCTTTTATACCTTTACAGTTTTCCTACAGAATAAAAGTAATATTCCTATAATTGTCCTATCACTGAAGGGACTTGCAGTGAGTTTGTCAATCAATAGTACTTACTATAATGACCGTATCATGCCTTTATGCTATGTTTTAATACCCTATGATCACTATAATATTGTTTTAGTGACTTGCAGTGTGATCAATAATGGCAGGGCTCTTTATGGTATTTTTCCATCTCCTATAGTATCACTCTAATGTCCCTGTTATATTCCTTAAGGGCTCTATCCCATATCTGTGATATTTGCTCAGCATTGTAGTCTTAAATTCATAATGAGTTTCCTTCAGTTCCTCTAGCTACAGTACTCCAAAAGTTTATGAGAAATTAAAAAAGAAATCTGGAATTGAATGTGTTGAATGTAACACAAAAGAGAAATTAGTCAAAGAAAATGAAATGTATTCTTCTGTCAGCTGGATTTTTGTTTATCCTGATGCACCTGCTAGAGGTCATCCAGCATCCAACTCGCCTGCTCTAGTTTTTCTTACCACCTGTGGGAGTTTTTAAACTTAAGAGTGTGACTTGTTGGTCACTGTTTCAACATAACCTCTGTGTGTGTGTGTGTGTGTGTGTGTGTGTGTGTGTGTGTGTGTGTGTGTGTGTGTGTGTGTGGTGTCTACATGTTTGAGTGGGGTTCCTAGAGGGTGACAGTGTCAGTGGCTCCCCTTTCCCCATCCCCACAGCCTTAATCCATCCAGGCGGAAATTTCAAATGACAGATGGGGGGTAGGTGTGTATGCCGAGCCGTGCAGGGGTAATTCAGGCTATCACCTTAAGTAGGTGTCAGGAGGAGAAAAACGGTTGAGGTTTTAATGAGAGCTGCTCCTGGCGGCTTTGACAGGCGACATATAACCACTGGCTTGTGTTTTGGGGGTGGGGTCAATTTCTCTTTTGGTCCTTTAAGAAATTAAAGTAAAAGACACAGTGAGAGAACAAAAATGAGAGGTGGAGGCTGGGTCCGAGGGAGTGAATGGATGATTGAATGAATAACATTATGAAGAATGAAGTGCATAAATGAATAATAAATGAATGAGAAGGTGAAAGTGTCAGGGAGGGAATTAACAGGTAAAAGAATCACTGAATTGAATTTATAACAGCAGTGAAATAAACTGACTGAGTGCCTGAGTGAAAGAATTAATAAGCTAAAAATGAATAAACGCAGATGAAACTATAAGTAATTTAATGATTGGGTGAAAGAATCAATCATTTAATGAACAGAATCCAGTCTAAAGAATGAATACATGAGTGTGACTGAATATATGGATAATTAAATGATTTAACGAGTGAGTAGAGAGGTGGAGGGCCTTGGTAGCCGGATTGGTTACAGCGTCAGCCGCACAGTTGCAACTGTCACCGGTTCGATTCCAGCCTGGCGACCTTTGTTGCATGTCATCCCCCCTCTTCCTCCCCCGTTTCCTGTCTGCCTCTTCACTGTCCCTATCCAACAAAGGCAAAAAAATTATATAAAAAAAATGAACGGATGTGTGAGCCAGTCTCCCTCGCGTTTTTTCCTCGTGAGAGGGTCAAAGTGCCCAAACGGGCCACTTTTTTGTATTTAAACATGTCGGTGTGATAAGCAGCCAATACACATGAGAGAAATAAACTTGGTAGGAGAGCAAAGGCCAACACTCATCCCTCATTTCCCCTTCTGTTTTTTCTTCTCCTTTCTCCGTCTTTCATCCTTAATCTCTGGAGAGAAAGAAACTCAGAATCCTCTGTTTCTCATTCTCTCTCTCATTTCTGTGAAGTATTCACTTGACACGAAAGCCTTTTCAGTAAAATGCAAACTCTCCTCTCTCTCTCTCTCTCTCTCTCTCTCTCTCTCTCCTTTCTTTATCTCTCTTTCTCTCTCTCTTGTTCCCTATGGACAGGGAGGTTGTTGAATTGGATTTGCCTGGTGTGGTTTGGCCAGGCCCCATAAGCCACTTTAGCTAAGTCTGTTACCCACAATTCTCTGTCTCTCTCTGATCTGCGCCTTTGACCAAGGTGTGCATGTGTGCAGCTGTACGATTGCCTCCACCTGTAAGTGTGTGTGTGTGTGTGTGTGTGTGTGTGTGTGTGTGTGCATATCTGGGTGTGTTTGCGTTTGTGTGAGCAAAGACAGGGTGTCAAAAGTCTAAGATGAGGTGAGTGAGGTTCAGTGGAGAAGGAGAGAGAGAGAGGTCCTAAACAGCAGACGTTAGCAGACAGTGGTTTTACAGTGGATCTAAACTGAGGGCTTATGGGTTTTTTGTCAGCTCGACTCTTTAACACTACAGTGTTGAGACCGCTGGCCTCAGCTCAGCTGGGCCTAAGACACATCACCACAGTAAAACGCTTTTAAAACAGTCACTGGATTGAATTTGTTATCGGAGATTTAATATATTTTCATTTAAGTGCCCAGTAATATATTGTTGTAAATACATTGTTCATTTGAAGGCAGTAAACTGTCTCAGACTGTCGGCGCTCCATCTATGGAAATATTGTTAGTGTATGAAAATGCAAAAGTTTTAGGATACTGACTATCTGCAGGAATAAAAGAAAATAATCTTGATTGATCAAAGTTTGATATTTGATATTTATTATTTTTCACTCTGAAATTCGCCATTTTTAAACCACCTGACAGTGCTGCAATATTAATGCAAGCTTTTTATACTGAGTGGACCTTTTTAACTCATTAAGTATGCAGGAAAATCCATCAAGTTTACAACTCAAATACATTAAGTATAATACCTTTTCTAGTTTTTTTTCCTGTACTTATTAGCATTTTGATGCAGTGGAGTAAAAACATACTTCCATAATCAAAAGCATAGATTTTAAAGTAGTAATTTAACACATTTGCCCAGTTATTTTTGAAGATATGTTGTCTTTATGTTGATCTTTGTAGCATTCAATGTTTAGTTATTTTTTAAAATTCAAGCTGGAAATTTGAAATTCATCAGTACAGTATAGTTTAGCTAAGAAGGCTCAAATGTAATTATTTGAGGTTTTAATTTCTCTCACTGTATACAGCATGTAATTTCTATATTTAACAGCAAGAACCAACTGTGGGGATGAACCCTGACATCTCTGTGTTGACTGTGGTCATAAACCAGTTGGAAGAAAAGAAAGGAGAGTGGAAACCACATCCTTTGTCCTAAAACGCACCTCATTGAATTCTTTCTTGTTTGCTCCTCATTAATACACTTGTGCTGTGCAACTTTCACAGATTTACTGCTAAAGAGAAGAGACTGATGCTCTGCAGTTCATTTTGAGCATCACATCTTGGCCACAAAGACTTAAAAAGCTTCTCTTTTGTGCAGCTCAGAGATCTGACCAGACAGTCTCCTCCGCTGTGTGGTTTTCAGAGGGCAGGCAGGGCGGAGAGGGACCTGTAGCTGCTGCTGCTCTGTCCCTCCTCTGCACCACAACAAAGGAAATCTAAATGCTCTTTTATTTTATGTACACTGCTGTAAAATCCTCCAGGGCCACTGTGGCCCATATAAAACTGAGAGCTGTCAAATTCTCAGAGAGAAGGCACGTGTCTAGATTGAGAGGGATGGTTTATTTATGTTGGCTACTCTGAGAGGCCTCTTATCTGAGCTGTAGTTATTCAGCACAGTGTTGATTTTATTCTCTGGTCCGACCTGTTCTTTTCTACTGTCTGCTTTTCTAGTTTACATCTTTTACACAGCAGGAAAGCACATAAGTAGAGTGATGGAAAGTCATGATAGGACACGATCATACAGAAAGAGCTGTGTAGAAATGATTGTATGCAGATGGTATTAAAAATATAACAAAGAAAACAGCTAAATCTGATGATGGTTGAATCCAAATCACCACGGCAATATAGATACTGAAAACAATAAGGTAGTGTGGCAATAGTGTTCTGTTCTATTCTATTGT